CTGCTGCAGCATTCTCCCTGGCATCACTGCCAGGAGCAGGACAGCAGAGAGCTCGGTCACCCATCAGTCCATGCTATGAGCTGTGCTTCGTTTCCTATTGCATCTCACCCAGCCTTGCAGTGCCAGTGCTGCCTGGAGGAATGGCAGCAGCAATCTGCTCGCGGTGACAGACACCCAGGAGATCATTCTGTGGAAGAAGCAACGAGTTTCATGGACTAGCTGCACTACATTACAAGAGTGTAAACTAAGTAGGGGAATCCTCACACTGTCTCCAAGTGCTCCCCTTTATATATAAATTAGTAATCCACAGTTAGTTTGCATACAGGGTAATATGAATTAAAATAAAAACCTTGATAACAAAAATATGTAATACACACATTGATCAACAGCAATAAACTGAAAACACTAGAACGTAACAGTGGCTGTAATTTGGCACAAAATAAAAATGCACAAAGGTCTAGCACTGTAAAAATAAAAATCCATTTTTTTCCCTCCTAAGTAAGAGAATGTTATTAATCCTGATTCAAATCCTGACAAATGGGAATGCAGAGATATAAAAATACTGTACATACAAGATCCCTTTTACAGAGTGAAGCAGACTGCAGCATTTGTAACTTCCATCCTTCCTCCCCAAGAGGAGAAATTCAACGATGAGACTTCATCAATCCCCTAACAGCTGATATTGTCCCACCCCACTAAGTTGAAAACCATGAAGTTCTTTAAAAAAAAGATGAGATTAACCTGTTGGATCTATCCACGTGACAACAACCGCTTCTCACTGCAGGAAGCTGTACAGTCCACATTAAGACAGTGTTTCATAGCAAGGTGACTCAGATCAGCCTGCTGAAGACATCGAGTATCCCTGCATGTAAGGCACAGTCACTTGGGTTCGCCCAACCTCTCTTCTGCAGACCATTGTGCTTCGGACGGAGGTGAAGAGGTGGCGAGAACTCTTGCTGGTGAGATGTGCCTACTATGGAGATTAGGAAGTGCCAGGATTTCATGCTGATGAATTTTCCACGTGGCGCTTGTTGCCTTGGTAATGCACAGAGTCAGAAAGGGATACAAGACCTGAATGACCTGGGCAGGGGTCCCAGGAAGGGCTCCAAAATGCTATTAAATCCAGAGCAAAACCATAGGCAAAGCTACTGAAACTTAGCAAGAGAAGACAAGGGAAAAATAAAGTTACTTAAACATTTTTCTGTCATAGAAAGGAAACTTTGCTCTGATTCATTTTTTTCAACTTCATTGTGCCTCTTTCCAGGGACACATGTGCAAGGTGCTGATTTTTCATCTCAAATACATAAGCTGCACCTTCTTGACTGTCAGAAGCCACAGAATTGTGGCTGCTGAGCCCCAAGATGAATTGCGTCCTTGTTCATCCATGATCTTAACTCAGCTCTTGTTGACTTCCATGGGACCATGGAATCTCCTTCCAAAAGTGGTTACTAAACATGCAAGTCCAGTTGCAACCTTGGCCTCAGGAAGCCTCTAACCTGCTGACTGCATGAGGCCCACAAGGTATATCAGATGAACAATTGTTCTGTTTATACCCCATTTACTACACACTTTCTTCAGCTACCATTCCTAGCATTTCTATCTCTCAATAGGTGTCAGCCCCTTCTAACAAAACTTCAAGGCCCCCCTTTTCACAAGGGCTATGGAAAAACAAAACAGGAGAAACACTTACAAGGGATGGTAAATGAACAGAGGTAGGGAGTAAGAATAAAAAGGTAAGGACTAAGGGAGGATATAGAGCAAAGCAGCCCATAAAGTATTCAGCACTCCCTGAAGGCATCCAAGGAAGCAGCAGATGCTCCTGGGATTCTTCCCTTGGGCTCTTGTCTTTTAGTGCCATGGCTGGAAAGCTTGGTTGGCCCAAGGAGACCAGTAAGGAGATCCTGCAGCTCCACATAGTAGGCACTGAGGTGTTCTTCAGACTTTACCCAGCTTCCAAATAAAATCAATGGGAGTTTCCTCTCATATAATTTCCACTCACTCCCACTGAAGTCAACAACTTGGATACTCCCAAGCATCTCTCCTGAATTAATAGGTTCTTCAAATGTCAGTGGGCTCAGGGCCTTCATGACTTTTCTGATGAGAGTAAGACAGAAGCCAACTCCAGTGCAAGAAAGCCCATCACAGCCAGCTACAGAGGCCCAGGAAAGGCTGAATTCCTACTGGGCAACTTGCTCTTGCCTTGTGCAGAGGGTCACCATTTTGCCCCATGCACAGCGAGTACAACACACAACCACTTTCTGATTTGGCAGGATTTTTCCCCATCCAGTTTTCACAAGTGCACCAGATGATACAAGCAGCAGGGCCTGGACTGGGGTGTTCGTAGAAAGTATAAGTTCATAAAACCCCATCAGGCATCCATTTCACAAAAATACTCTGATGGCAATGGAGGGGAAAAACCCACAGAAAAAAAATGGCATTTTCAGCAGTAGAAATTTTGACTGTTACAGGAAATACAAAAATAAACTTTTACAAAATAAAACCATTGCAGACGAGGTTGCCACATGGACCAAGTTATCAAACAAAAAAAAAAAAAAATATGGTCTATGTTGTTTTTTTTCTGTATCCTTTAAAACAACATTAACACTTCTGAATGGACAGAGATGGAACTAGAAGAAGGAACAAGGCAAGGACAGTAAAATCTAGCCGCTAGCTGGGATATTTCCTGAGAAGAAGCAGCAAGCAAGCAACAGCTTGCGAGTCACTTAAGGGTTCATGCAGGTGAGCAAGTTCATGGTCTGGAAGCAAGGGCCCACAGCTAACAGGATGCTACTTGTGCACAGTCCTATGTTACAATGGTTTTGGCTAGTGTACAATTGGAGCAGAGGTCTACTGGGACTTAACTGGTTCTTCACAGGAACTGCTGCCAACATCCCAGTGAGGGTAGGAGATGGAAGTTTCTTGAGCTGTTGGTCAAGGTAAGGCATGGGCTTGTGCTGTGGCATTAAACATGCCCTTGAAATTTACTTGAGGAAGGAGTTGCCTTGTCTTCCTAGTGATTTGTTTCTGTAACTATCCTGACCAAGGACAACAGCCAAGCTTAAAGCCTTACAGCTGCCTTGGGGCTTGAAT